GTACAGTGCTGCAAAAGCTTGCAAAGAGGAGCTACATTCTTTTGGCTGATTCGCCACCATTTCTTAAAGAGCTATATGTAAAGGAATTTTTAGTCTTTAAGAGATAAAGTTGTTGACTGACTGTATCAAAAGGGTCTGGCCTTCCATCTTCCACTGCCTGGTGCAAATTTGCACTGCAATAACGGTTTGCTAATCGGGTCATTTTCTCGTTGCGTTACTTCGGCGATCCTTATGTAGCGATCCAATTTTGCGCATTGAATCTCTGCCTTAATTTGAACTTCTAATTATCTTGCTTTTAGGAGATGTGTAGAAAAGACACCTACCATGAGAAAGTTGGTAGTTCCCGTTTGTTTCATTTTCAAGACAGTTCGGACATGTCCAGCAACCCAGCATTCCGGAAGTACTAAACACGTGAAGCTACTTCCGATCTTACAAATTCCTGATATTCATATCGATTGTATTTCAATCATATTATTCTAAAGGCAAACTTACATCGTATACGGATTGATTGAACGTTCCATTTCTTTTTTGAGCCAGTAACAAGCGCGCTGCTCTGTTCATTTCAAGCGTACCACTAGAGATGCATTCATATAATGACGCCGCAGCTCTAAGATGTTCCACTGTGGGCTCTTCAAAGTTGGATTCGGTTCGGTTACAGACATCTAAGGTTTTAATGATGTAGACGTGGATTACTGATAGATTTGAATGAACCAATGTTTGATTAACTTACCAGGTTGCACTTCTTGCTCATTCTTGATTGGTAGCTGATCACTGTAAAAGGCTGTCTGCGACGAAGATCTTTCAGAAAGCATTCTAGGTCTGAACAAATCTATTGTTCATGTACATTGTTCATAATTGCTTGACTTACGAAGCTGCTTGGGGACTTGCAACTGTAAGCTGAGCGCGTTTTGCTGCAAAGATTAATCGTGGTCTAGATGGGGCACGAGCTCGTGTGGGAGTGTACACCGTAGTTCTCATCTTCAGAAATCTTAAGGCTGAGTATCTAAAAATAATGGGAAAATGCATAACAGTTTGC